GAGAAAAATGAATCCTAGTATACTGCTGGAGGGAATGCAGACTGGTACAACCATTATGGAAAACAGTGTGGAGTTTCCTCAAAAAATTAAAAATGGAACTGCCATTTGAACCAATGATCCCACTATTAGGAATATATCCTAAGAACTCTTTCTGAAACACCAATCAGAAAGAATATATGCACCTCTATGTTCATAGCAGTGTTATTTATAATAGCTAAGATATGGAAACAGCCCAAGTGCCCAACAGTAGATGAATGGATAATAAAACTGTGGTACATTTACACAATGGAATGCAGCTGTAAAAAAAAAAGGATCTCTTACCCTTTGGGACAGCATGGAGGATCCCGGAAAGTATTATGCTAAGCAAAATAAGCCAGTCAGAGATCTCAACTTATATGTGGAATATAATGAACAGAATAAACTGATGAACAAAACAGATCCAGAGAAATTGAAACATGCAGCAGATACAATAGACTGACTCATTTCAGAAGGGTGCGGGAAAGGAAGAGATTCACCAAAGAACTTAAAAGCATATATGTACAGCCCATAGACAATCAATAGTGTGGGGAAGGCCTAGGGAGGGGGTGCGAGCAGGGTGGAGGGGGTCAACAGGTGAAAAAAAAGGGGCAGCTGTAATACTTTCAACAATAAAGATTAAAAAATATTAATAATAAAGTTAAACTAAATTTTTTTAAAAAGCCTGGGAAGAGCAGGTGAGTAATAGGCCCATAGCCAGAGGCAACTGCAAGGTGAAATGGGGAATCTATAATAATAAAAGCATAATATACTAATTAGACCAGACATCCTTCTGGATGTTCTTCCTTCCTGACAAAGCTGCAGTGGGTGGGGGCTGAGGTAGAGGCAGCAGAAGCCCCTGGCAGGGGCTGCAGCGGGGGGCAGAGGCCGGGGCCAAAGCTCTTGCACAAATTTTGTGCATCAGTTCTGTAGTCTATAATAATAAAAGAGTAATATGCTAATTAGACAAGATGACCTTCCAGACGAAGCTGGGACTGCGAGGGTAGCCCAGGTCCCAGGTGCCAGAGGGAAGCTGGTGCCGGCAGCCAGGGGAAGGAAGGCCTACTCTTGCACGAATATCATGCATTGGGCCTCTAGTCCTTTATAAAAGTTAGGTTTAAGCCTGGGCCCATGGCCATATAACCTGGCTTTTGCAGGGGTCCCTGCTCCACCATCATATATATGGGGTGCTGGACGGCACTAGATCTGTGGTGAAGATTAAAGCTGGGGCAGCACATGAGGAAGGAGCGCCAGGGCCTCCCTGAAGGGTGAGACTACAGGGTAGAGGAACAAACTTGGTGTGGCAGAGGCCTAGCCCCGTTGCAAGTAGGGGTTTAGGGGTGGGGATGCTAGGAGGTGAGATCAGAGAGGCCCAAGGCCCAAAGGGCATGGTAAGGACTTTGGCTCTTGCTCTGAGAAGCCATGATGAGAAGCCATGAGGAGTTTTGTACCAAGGACTAGCATGATCTGATTTAAAAGGATCCTTCCGGTTGCTGTGTTGAGAAGGGATGGTAGGAAGGTAAGGGTAGGTGTGGAAAAATCCAGTTAGGACACTGTGACAGTAATCCAGAAGACAGATGATAGTGGCTGGGACCAGGGTGGTAGCAATGGAGATGGCAAAAACTGTTCAGATTCTAGATTTAATCTGAAGGTAGGGTTGACAGGACTTGCCAATGAGCTGGATGTGAGGTTTAAGAGAAAGAGGAATTGAGGATGACTCCTAGATTTTTGTCTAAGTAAACAGAAGGATAGAAGTGCTTTTTTGAGATGAGAAAGCCTCAAATAACAGGTGTGTGTATGTGAATATGAGGGGAAAGGGACTAAGGAAGGTGTAGACGAAGCATGTCAGACTCAAAGGCTAACACGGGCCAAATAAACAAGGTTTAAGTTTACGTGGGCCGCAAAAAAACAAAAGCTTCAATTTTCATAGAAACGTAGATTTATCTCGATAGAGACATGCTAAATACAAAAGGCTGAAATAAATGAGTAATCGTTAACATAAAATAATAGAAAATTTTAATAAAAATTAATATTTTTTCTTGAACATCAACTTACCAGACACTGAATAACTGCACAAATAAGCATAATGCAAATAAACCTATTTTTCTTGTTCTCCGAAAGCGAAATATTTTCTGTTGCGCATACCAAACAGGTCAGTACAAGACTAGTGACGTGGCAATCGGCTGCTAAAATATTCACTGCTAGTATTTATTAGTGGAGAGAAATGGTGCACTGCGTGTAAGGCACATAAGGGAAATGAATGCAACACGATTATAGTATTCAGTCATTAGCGAACATTGCAGTTCGTTATTAATAATTATGTATAACAGGATATTGTAAAAATTAAGTTACGAAATTTGTATTAAAATGCTTCTTACATACCGTTATATTGGCTGGGCCACAAAAATATTCATTGTGGGCTGCATGCAGCCCGTGGGTCACGTGTTTGACATGCTTGGCATAGACGTATTGGGAATTTGGTTTAGGATATGTCAAATTTAAGCAATCAGAGTAATTAAAAAATTAGTTTTTAAAAAAGATTTCTAATGGAAATCTAAGTGATGATGTCCAATATACAGATAGTCTAAGGGTCAAGCTAGAGATCCAAGCTAGAAAGAGAAATTTGAGATTGATCAGGGCACTGAGGGCGTTTAAGACCCCCAAACTGGGTAAGATCATTCAGGAAGTGAGTGATAGTAGAGAACAAATCTGATGACTCCAACATTAAAAGGCTGGAGAGGCAAGAAGAAACCAGCAAAGCAGACTGAGAACAAATTGAAAGTAAAGTAAGAAAAGAACCATAACAGGCTGCTTCCCAGGAAACCCATGGAGGAAAGAATTCAAGAAGGAAAAGGTCAACTGCGTAAATGCTGCTGATAGAGCAAGAAGGATGAGGTTTGAGGCGTGTCCATTGGACTTAACAATGTGGAGGTCATCAGTGACCTTGGCAAGAGTGACAGAAGGAACTGGAGAAAGCAGTTTTTCTGCAGTAAAGAAGAGAGAAACAAGACTATAACTAGAGGAAAATTTTAGATCTAGGGTGGATGGTTTGTTGTTGTTGTTTTAAGTATATTTTTCTTTATTTCAGAGAGGAAGGGAGAGGGAGACGTGGAAACATCAATGATGAGAGAGCTAGGGTGGATGTTTTTTAAAGATGGGAAATATGATAGCATGTTTTCATGATCATGAGAATGACCAGTAGAGGGATCGGATGACACAGAAGACTGCCAGATCAACGACCTTGAGTAGGCAAGAGAAGCCAGGATCTAATGCAGAAGTGAAGGATAAAACAGGCTAGGTCTGCCACAGATACAGGAGGGAAGGAAGCTGGTGGATGTGCAGTGTGTGTGTGGTCATTCTCTTCTGATTGTTTCTCGTTTTTCGATAAAACAAAAATCAGCCCTAGGTGGTTTGGCTCAGTGAATAGAGCATTGGCCTGCGGACTAAAGGGTCCCGGGTTTGACTCCGACCAAGGGCACGTGCCCGGGTTGTGGGCTCGATCCCCAGTAGGGGGCATGCAGGAGGCAGGCGATTGGTGATTCTCTCTCATCATTGATGTTTCTATCTCTCCCTCTCTCTTCCTCTCTGAAATCAATAAAAATATATATATATATGTATTATTATTAATAAAAAAATATTTTTTTAAAAATCAGCTCACCAGATCATCAGCTAATCAGGTGTCAGGAAGGCTGAAGGAGGAGGTCACGGAGGTTTGCAAAGAGAAGAGAAGATATAAAACAGTCATCTAGGAGGCGGGAGAATGAACTTTAGGAAAACAGTGTGTGATGGATAGGCAGCACGAAGGGTCCCCTGGAGGTGGGTGCCATAAAGGTAAAGGGAGCCTGGTCAGCGTGGTAGTGGGTTGAGTGGCCCAGATGCTGTGAGGTTCTAAAGAGTAGGATTTCCAAGAGTCCACCATGTGCCAGTAGCACGTGCCTCACACATATTCATTCTCATGATATCGCTCCACAACAAGGTAGGTGTTATCATCTCCATTTTACAAATGAGGAAACCAAAACAGTGGCCAAGTGACTTGCCCAAGGTTAAACCACAGGAAGAAGCAAAACCCGAATCCAAGCCAGACTGTTGGACCTAGCACTACGCCACTGATACCTGCAAAATGTTTGTCTCAGCACTTGAGCGCGCCTTCCCATTTTCAGACCTCTCTCAGGACTTCTAAAAGAACCTTTTTTTTTTTTTTTTTTTTTTTGCATGAAATGTCTAGATTATTAACAAATACTCCAATATAAATCTTTCAACATGCTTCTCCCTTATAGAATTTTCAACCAAATTGGAAATAATAACAGTTGCTTTCCTATGGGGTATTCATCCAAAAGTCAATAAAAAATAAAAACAGAGCCCACACAGAATTCTCTGGAGGAACAGAGCCAGGCTCTGAATGCAGGTCTGTGGACCTGCAGGTCTGAACTGGGCAATGAATGGGGGGAAGACGTGAGCTTTACAACCAGGGATGGTCACTACATCAAGGAATTATCATTAAGCTTAAATAACAGACTTTTGGGTAAACTGAGTCAGAGAAGCTTATAGAAAAGTTGTTACCTAAATTCAGGGTATCCTTCATATGAGGAATATTAAAGCCCTTATTGCTATTGTCTATAACACATAACTGGCCCACACTGCTATTTTCTGAAGTTTTAAGAGAACAAAACCGAAAAACAATCCCACTCTCCCTGTTGAACCAAGTGTTTCCCTGCCTCTGATGCATTTGGATGGAGATCAGAAAGGGACGCAGACAAAAAAAAAAACCAAAACAGCTTCCAGGAAACAGCTTTTTGTGGTGGTTACACCAGGGAGGCTGTCCTTTGAAGTGTCTCCTGGTTTTGTTGAGACGTTTTTCTACCTGAGCCAATGCATCACTCCCCAGAGAGAGAGAAACAAACTACTGCATCCCTGTATATGTTAGGGTTTTTTGGGTTTTTTGTTGTCTTTTTTAATGTTAGTTTGTTTTAAACTCTGCTCCTTACCTGGATCCACCTCAGAAGAGGAAAGAACGGAAAGGCCTTCTGCAGAACTAGCGGCCTCGCTGTGGGCCTCCTGGCAGGGTTCCCGCAGCACGTAATCTCTTATGTCACAAGCAGACGGCAGCTCCAGAGAGTTGCTCTCCTCTGACTGGCTGTCTGGAGTGGCTTGCGGAGTTGCCATAGTCCTGCCATGGGAAAAATAAAACAATCAACACAAAAGGCATTGCAAAGAGAAGCCTCCATTCAAACAGTCACGACTTGAAGGACTGAAGTCCCAGAATCGGAAAGGCCAAAGCACAGTAGAACCAGGATAATCGGTCTTTACTTCCTTGTCTGTCCTTTAGACCCAGTATTTGTATACCGTATTTTCTTCCTCATGAGAAACAAATGTTCTCATCATGAAAGAAACCATGAACAAGTCCAGCTGGAAAATAGCCCATGTGCCTGATGAGGATGAAATCATTCAAGGACTACAAGAATATTTAGAGAAGGGAAATTGTTCATGAGCTAGTCCATAAAAATGGATTTTAAAACGATAAGATTTGATCCAGATTCTGTAAAATAAAATGTCATGTGTGAGATGCGTGCACGTGAAATATATAGACCTCTAGCTAGAAAAACCAAACCTTGAAGAGTGTATCCCAAATCAATTTTACTGGTAACTAATCCAGTGGTTTAATTTCCGAGTAGTGAGATTATAGGCGATTTTCACTTTCCTCTGTGGCCTACTCAGACATGCATTTAGCCAATTATTTGACATGCCAGGCCAGGTGCCAGGCTCTGAGGATGTAAAGATGAACGTGATAGGCTTTTCTTTCAAGTTGCTCAGTTTGGGGTGATCCAAACACAGAAACATACCATGTCAACACAATGACAAAACAGAGTGGAGCCTGGAAAGGAGTAGGAGGCTTACTGGAGGAGGCAATCCCTGTGCATAAGGCAGGCCAGGCCATGGCCAGGGGACAGTGTGAACACCAGAAGAACCAGCTTGGGCAACCACAGTGGCATGGGGTGTCAGGAGTTTAAAGTGAGAGTCAAGGAACAGTCATGCACTGTGTAACTGGAGAGACAAACCCTGTGGTCTTAGTTGGCACTCTCTTCTCCTCCTATGCCAAGTCTGGGGAGGACAACAAGGCTGGCTGCTGCCAGCAACTTGGATATACAAAATCTTTTTTTAATATGTTTTTATTAATTTTTAAAATGTATTTTATTAATTTCAGAGAGAAAGGGAGAGGGAAAGAGAAATAGAAACATCAATGATGAGAATCATCGATCAGCTGCCTTCCACATACCCCCTGCTGTTCGTGCAAGAGATCAAGCCCACAACCTGGGCATGTGCCCTGACTGGGAATCGAACCTGTGACCTCTTGGTGCATGGATCGATGTTCAACCACTGAGCCACCAGCCAGGGAGATATACAAACTCTTTAGCTGAGCTCTGGGGACTGTGAAAGTGGCTTATTAGGTTCAGTGTTTAGACATTCCTTGTTAAAAATGAGTTGTTCCTGCCCTGGCCAATGAGCTTGTGAACCAGGGCAGGGCACTACCAGTCAGGAGCAGGGGCAGATTAAGAACATATTTAGGAAGAAAAATGAGAATAGAACTTAATAACTGAATGAATAAAGGAACTAAGGAGAAATAGAGAGCCAATGAGGAATGGCACCTGGGTTGTATTATCAACTGAGGTAGAGAAGATAGAAGAAAGGGGTTTGGGAGGGGGCAGTATTCCAAGTTATGTAATATTATGCAACTATTAAAATGATAGTCAGAACTTGAAAGACCTCAAAGATGTATGTTTGAATGAAAGAAGCAATTTCAGAATAACATGGACAGCCTATAATAATAAAAGGGTAATATGCTAATTAGACTGGACGTCTTCCGGGCGTCATTCCGGATGTCCTTCCTGGCAAAGCTGGGGCCAGAGGGAAGCCAGCCCAGGTCCTGGGTGCCTATGGGGGGCCCGAGGGAAGCCAGCTCGGGTCCTGGGTGCCTGGAGGGAAGTCAGTGCTGGCAGCCAGGGGAAGGAAGGCCTACTCTTGCACGAATTTTCGTGCATCAGGCCTCTAGTATAATAATAATAAGAGTAGGTGCCCTGGCTGGTGTGGCTCAGTTGGTTGGGTGTCATCCTCTGCACCTAAAGTTTGTGGGGTTCAATTCCCAGTCAGGGCACATGCCTGGGTTGTGGGTTTGATCTCCGGTGGGGTGTGTGCAGGAGGCAGCCAATTAATGTCTTGCTCTCACATCAGTATTTCTCTCTCTCTCTCTCTCTCTCTCTCTCTCTCTCTCTCTCTCTCTCTCTCTCCCTTTCCCTTCCTCTCTCTCTAAAAGTCAATAAAAAATCTTTAAAAAAATAAGAATATTTATCAAGTGTTCATTGCATGCCAGGTATTGTGCTGAGCTTTATCTGCAACCACTCTATGAAGCAGGTAATCCAATTATTACCCTAATTTACAGTCAGTCTGACCCAGACACAGAGACAAGTAGAGTAACTTGCCCAAGGAAACCCATCTAGAAAGTACCAAGCTAGGATGAACTCAGCACCAAGACCTCCCACTCTCCTCTGCACAGCCTCCATACTGTGACCTAAGCAGGCACAGATAGGAGAAGGTGGATGGAAACAAATCAACAGAGAGACCTGGCAAGACCCTTCTTGTTTGAAGACATCAAGTCACATGCTGTTGTGAACATTTGCTCTAGCAGAGAGTGAGCCAAGACATCAACTGATTGCTTCTGAAAGGAGTGGAGTGATTAATGTGCCCAAAGAAGCAAGAACGTCCTGTCTTTTCACATGTGCTACATTAGCCAATCAGGCCTGAAGTTTTAGCAAACACCTCTGCTGCAAGCTATCAGCGGCTCCTCCTTCTCTCTTCATGTTACCAAACACTGCTCTGGAATCTTCTGGAAGGGATCAAATAGGTAGGTCAATGAATGCCTGCCTACAAAGGTGCCTTGAAATCAACCATCAACTGAAGGTGTTGTTATCAATGTAAAACAAAAGAAATCCTTTTTGAAAACACATAGTACACTGATGTGACATCTACCTTTTCTTTTAGAATCACTTACATTAAACATCAAATACATTCCAAACTAGGTATGTGAACAAATAAGAATTTGTGCATGTAAAGCACAAAGCAAGTAATAGGTATAGAAGAGACACTTCTCGTTATAGTCTGAAACCATGTAGGCTGGCAAGTAAAATACAATGATTATTTTTTGCCCCAAAACTTTTTAAATCTTCACCCAAGGACGTGCTTAGAGAGAGGAAGGGAGAGATGCCTTTGCACATGCCCCAGCCAGGGACCAAACCCACAACCCAAATACGTGCCCTGACCGGGAATCGACCTGGATTCCCTTAGGTGCATAGGAAGACGCTCAACCAACTGAACCACTCTGGCCTGGCTGACCCCAAATTTTTGATATGTGGTTCAACTTCCTTCTCCAGAATTGCATATTTTCCTTTCTTAAAAGAGCCTGAATGACAAGGGGCCAGCCTGGGCCTTAGATGCCACTCTTTGGATCTGTCCATAGCCTTCAAGGACAACAATCCCTTCTCTCACTTCTGTTCCACTGGACTGTCACTGCGACTTTTCAACATGCCCAAATTGCTCCCTCCCATTTTCAACCAAACCTGGTGTATAAGGGAATGACCTTATTCTTTAGAGATGCCCCTCAAATATATATTGGTAGGGGGACATGATGTCTACAACATACTCTCAAATAGTTCTAAAAATATGTATATGCGCGCACACACACACACACACACACACACACACACACATAAGTAAAGAAGAGGAGAGAACCTGGGGTTAAGCCTCAAGAAAGTCCAATTGGAGACAGAGGTTGAGATGCAGAACTTATTTATTTATTTACTTTAAAAAATATCTTTATTGACTTCAGAGAGGAAGGGAGAGGGGAAGAGATAGAAATATCAATGAGAGAGAATACTTGACCGGCTGCCTCCTGCACGCTCCCTACTGGGGATCAAGCCCACGACCCAGGCATGTGCCCTGACTGGGAATCAAACTGTGACTTCCTGGTTCATAGGCTGATGCTCAACCATTGAGCACCACTGGCCAGGTGGAACTCATATATTTATATACATTAGCAAGAAATACTTAAATTGAAATTAAAAGAACACAATTCCATTTATAATAGCATCAAAAAATAAAATATTTAGGAATATATTTAATAAAAATGCATAAGGCATATACATTGAAAACTACAAAATAAATTTTGAAAGAGACTGAAGATCTACATGAATGGAAAGACATCCTATGTTCATAGACTTAATATTTTATTGCCCAAATTGATCTACAGATCAATGCAATTCTTATCAAAATCTCAGTTGCCTTTCTTTTTTGTACACATTTGACAAAATTTTCAAAAATTCATATGGAAATGCAATACCCAGAATGGCCAAAACAATTATGAAAAAGAAGAACAAAGTTGGAAGACTCATATTTTTCAATTTCAAAACTTACTGAAAAGCTACAATAATCAAAATTGTATAGTACTGGCAAAAGATTGAACATATTGATCAATGGAATAGAATTGAGAGTCCAGTTGTAAAATGTTACATTTATGGTCAATTGATTTTCTTTTTTTAAAATTGAAGTATAGGTGATATACAATATTATATTAGTTTCAGGTGTACGACATAGTGATTCAATATTTATATATCTTTTTTTAAAAAAATATATTTTTATTGATTTTTTACAGAGAGGAAGGGAGACAGATAGAGAGCCAGAAACATCGATGAGAGAGAAACATCGATCAGCCGCCTCCTGCACATCCCCCACTAGGGACATGCCCGCAACCCAGGTACATGCCCTTGACCGGAATCGAACCTGGGACCCTTCAGTCCGCAGGCTGACGCTCTATCCACTGAGCCAAACCGGTTTCGGCGATACATATCTTATGAAATTATCACCACAAAAAGTCTTATAACCATCTATTACCATACAAAGTAATTACAATATTATTGACTATATTCCCTGTGCTTTACCTTATATCCTGGTGACTTATTTATTTTGTAACTGAAAGTTTGTATCTATTAATGCACTTCACATATTTTTCCAATCCTCCCCCATACACACACCTTTGGCAGTCATCAGTTTGTTCTCTGTATCTATGAGTCTATTTCTGTCTTGTTTTGCTTTTTTTTTTAGATTCCACATATAAGTGAAATAATATGGGTTTTTTTTCTGGTTTATTTCATTTAGTATAATACCCTCTAGATTCATCCATGTTGTCACAAATGGCAAGATTTCATTCTTTTCTTTTTAAATATATTTTTATTGTTTCAGAGAAGAAGGGAGAGGGAGAGAGAGATAGAAACATCAATGATGAGAATCATTGATCCGCTGCCTCCTGCAATCCCCACACTGGGGATCGAGCCACAACACAGGCATGTGCCTTGCCCAGGAATTAAACCATGACCTTCTGGTTCATAGGTCAATACTCAACCACTGAGCCATGCTGGCTGGGCCAAGATTTAATTCTTTTTATGGCTGAGTAATAGTCCATTCTATATATACTAGAGACCCGGTGCATGAAATTCATGCACTTCGGGAGGGGGGGAGGGCCCTCAGCCCGGCCTGCACTCTCTCGCAGTCTGGGAACCCTCGAGGGATGTCCAACTGATGGCTTAGGGAGCAGGCCTAAGTTGGCAGTTGGACATCCTTAGCATTGCCACGGAGGCAGGAGAGGCTCCTGCCACTGCTGCTGCACTTGCCAGCCATGAGCCCAGCTCAGGGCTTCTGGCTGAGCGGCGCTCCCCCTGTGGGAGTGAACTGACCACCAGGGGGCAGCTCCTGTGTTGAGCATCTGCCCCCTGGTGGTCAGTGCGCATCATAGCAACCAGTCGTTCTGTCGATTTGCATATTAGCCTTTTATTATATAGGACTAGAGGCCCTGTGCACAAAAATTTGTGCACTCGGGGGGGAGGGGGGGTCCCTCAGCCTGGCCTGTGCCCTCTCACAGTCTGGGACCCCTCGGGAGATAACGATCTGCTGGCTTAGGCCTGCTCCCGGGTGGCAGAGGGCAGGCCCAATCCCTAGGTGCAGCCCCTGGTCGGGCTCAGAGCAGGGCTGATTGGGGAGTTGGGGCGCTGCCCCATCATGCACAGAGGAGGGTGGATCGGGAGGTTGTGATGCCACCCTCAGTCACGCTCAGGGTAGGGCCGATTGGGGGGTTGGGGCACCGCCCCCTGTCACACTCAAGGCAGGGTTGATGGGGAGGTTGCGGCACCACCCCCTGTCATGCACAGAGCAGGGCCAATCATGGGATTGGGGCGCTGCCCCCTGTCACGCACAGAGCAGGGCCCATCAGGGGGTTGGGGAGCTCCCCCCTGTCACGCACAGAGCAGGGCCCATCAGGGGGTTGAGGAGCTCCCCCCTGTCACTCACAGAGTAGGGCCGATAGGGGAGTTGGCGCACCGCCCCGTCACACACAGAGCAGGGCAGATCAGGGGGTTGGGGCGCTGCCCTTTATCACCCACAGAGCAGGGCTGATCAGGGGGTTGGGGCGCCGCCATTCTCACACTCAGGGCAGGGCCGATGGGGAGGTTATGGCTCTACTCCGTCACACACAGAGCAGGGCCTGTGGGGTGGGGCGGTTGGGGCGTCGCACCCTGTCACACACAGAGCCACAGGGTGATCAGGGGGTTGGGGAGCTCCCCCCTATCAGGTACAGAGCAGGGCCGATCAGGGGGTTGGGGGGCCTTCCCCTGTCATGAACAGAGCAGGGCTGATAGGGAGGTTGTGGCCCCGCCCCCTGTCACACACAGAGCTTCAGGGCGATCAGGGGGTTTGGGCGCTGCCCCCTGTCACACTGATCCCGGTGCTGGGAGGCCTCGCGGCTCCGCTGATCCCGGTGCTGGGAGGCATATTACCCTTTTACTATATAGAATAGAGGCCTGGTGCATGGGTGGGGGCTGGCTGGTTTGCCCTGAAGGGTGTCCTGGATCAGGGTGGGGGTCCCCACTGGGCTGCCTCGCCAGCCTGGATGAGGGGATGATGGCTGTTTGCAGCTGGTCACACACCCTTCAGGGTGGGGGTCCCCACTGGGGTGCCTGGCCAGCCTGGGTGAGGAGATGATGGCTGTTTGCAGCTGGTCACACACCCTTCAGGGTGGGGGTCCCCACTGGGGTGCCTGGCCAGTCTGGGTGAGGGGCTGAAGGCTGTTTTCAGGCTGGGACTGAAGCTCCCAACTGCTCCTTTTTTTCTTTTTTCTTTTTTATTCTGGGCCAGCTTTAGCTCTGAGGCTTGGCTCCAGCTCTGAGGCCTCAGCTCCTAAAAGCAGGTATCTGGTTTGTTTCAGTTCTATAATCGAAACTCTGTATCAACTGAGATCCCAGCCGGCTGAAAGCTGGTTTCTGGGGTTTTGTTTAGCTTCTATATTTGTTACAATGTTTCTTAAACTGCAAGCTCAGAGGCCAGCAAGGCAGGTTGGGAACGTTGCAGTCCTCCGTCACTGAAGCAAGCAAGCCTCATGTTAGTTTCAAGCTGCCTGGCTGCCGGCCGCCATCTTGGCTGGCAGTTAATTTGCATATTGCCCTGATTAGCCAATGGGAAGGGTAGCGGTTGTATGCCAATTACCATGTTTCTCTTTTATTAGATAGGATACCACATGTTCTTTATCCATTTATCTATTGATGAACACAGGTTGCTTTTGTATCTTGACAATTATAAATAATGTTTCAATAAACAGAGGGTATATCATTTTAATTAGTGTTTTTGTTTTCTTTGGATAAATACCCAGAAATGGAATTGCTAAATTGTTCATTTTCTGTTGTTGTTTGTTTTGTTTTGTTTTTTGTTAATCCTCACCCGAGGATATTTTTCCATTGATCTTTTAGAGTGAAAGAGAGGGAAAGACAGAGAGAAACATCGAAGAGAGAAATACATCGATTGGTTGTCTCCTGCATGAGCTCTGACCAGGGTCCAGGCCAGGGGAGGAGCCTGCAACTATGTGCCCTTGACAGGAATGGAATCTGGGACCCTTTGGTCCACAGGCCAACATTCTATCCACTGAGCCATAACAGCTAGGGCTGAATCGTTCATTTTTTGAGGAACCTCCATACTGTTTTCCATAGTGGCTACACCACTTTACATTCCCCCAACAGTGCATGAGAGTTCCCTTTTCTCCACATCCTCACCAACACTTGGTATTTCTTATCTTTTTTTTATTTTTATATATTTTATTGAGTTTTTACAGAGAGGAAGGGAGAGGGATAGAGAGCTAGAAACATCAATGAGAGAGAAACATTGATCAGCTGCCTCCTGCACACGCCCTACTGGGGACATGCCCGCAACCAAGGTACATGCATGCCTTGACTGGAATCAAACCTGGGACCCTTCAGTCCACAGGCTGACACTCTATCCACTGAGCCAAACCAGTCAGGGCTATTGTCTTTTTGATAATAGCTACTCTAACAGGTCTGAGCTGATATCTGATTGTGTTTTGATTTGCATTTCCCTGATGATTAGTGATTTTGGGCATCTTTTCATGTGTCTATAGACATCTGTATGTCTTCTATAGAAATATGTCTATCCATCAACGATTTTCCACAGGGTGCCAAGACAGTTCTACAGGGAAAAGACTGCCTTTCAACATTTCAACACTGAGATAACTGGATAGTCACATTTAAAAAAAAAAAAAAAAAAGTAAAATGGTGCAGGCACTTTGGAAAACAGTTTGGCAGTGTCTCAAAGGATAAATAGTTACACTTTGTCCAGGCAATTTCACTTGTAGGTATATGCTCAAGATATAAAAACATGTGTTCACACAAACCTTCACAAATATTAATTGCAGCTTTATTCATAATAGACAGAAAGTGAAAACAATCCAAATGTCCATCAACTAATGAATGGATAAATAAAATTTGGTATATGCATACTTGGAATATTTTTCAGCAATAAAGGAATGAGGTTCTGACACATGCTACAAGGACAAATTTTGAAAACATTAATTTTAAAAAGCTAGTGTTTTTTTTAAAAAGAGACAACAGGCTCAAATAAACTCACAAAACGTTTCTATAGTCACATGTGACCAAACCTCTAAAAACGTGAATTTTATTTTTTGTGAATTATAGCTCAACAAAGCTGGTGTTTTTTGTTTTTTAAAGAAGAAAAACCTAAGCTCATGCAGACACACTGCCTGCAGACTCCGGGGATCGCCAAAGCTAAGGCTGCTGAAGCTGCGGAGGCCGCACCCTGGGGTGGAGGAGGGGTGCATGGCAGGAAATTGGAAGTGTGCCAGGGGAAGCGGCCATAACTTCCCAATTGTGAGATAATGATCTAAAGCATTGTGGGGTACCCCCTCCCCTCTCTACCCCCAGTCCCAAGGCACTCCTGAATCAACCCAGACACCCGCCCAAAATATTCGTCAATTACACTCACCATCAGGCCGCGGCGGCAAGCTGGAATCCGGAAGCGGAAGAGCCATGTTTGTTAAGGGAAAAGTGAGTTTAAAAGGAAGTCGCTGGGGCCATCTTTGCTGAGGGCAAGCAAGGGCGATGGAAGGTAGCTGCGGCCATCTTGGTTAAGGGCATTCGCCCAAGCTTTCCAGGGCGCATGGCTAGTTTGGGCAATTTCTAGAGAAGGTTTATTAATAAAATGCGCTTGATGGACACTACAGAGAACAGAAAAACTATTTAAAAATTTTAAAAATGTGAATGTCTGCACTAAAAAACTAGAGAGAAATTAACAAAGAATGAAAATAGTTTAACATGTTGTTTTTTTTTAATCCTCACCCAAGCATGGCAGGGATTGGATTACAGGACAATTAACAAGATTATGTGCTCTCTCAAGGGTGGTTACCCTTTGGATGGATCTGAAAGAGGCATTTCAAAGGTGTGTTAACTTAGATGCATAGAAACAATGGACAGGGCTTCCTTAAACTGAAGACAATCCGCCCTAACCGGTTTGGCTCAGCCGATAGAGCATCGGCCTGCGGACTGAAGGGTCCCAGGTTCCATTCCCGTCAAGGGCATGTACCTGGGTTGCGGGCACATCCCCAGTAGGGGGCGTGCAAGAGGCAGCTGAATCGATGTTTCTCTCTTCCTCTCCCTCTCTGTAAAAAATCAATAAAATATATTAAAAAAATAAAATAAAATAAACGGAAGACAATCCTTTCACAGGCCTGAGCATGACTACCCATCCTGACTTGCCCAGTTAGGAATTTATGATCAGATCATCTTGTGAGGTTACTTTTGGTTAGATTAATTATATTTTCATACAGAGTATTTATAATGAACATAAACTTGGACCTTAGTATCTGAAATCAACACTTGCACAATGGTAGGCAAATGGTGAAGGTGCTAAAAAAATGGTTTGATGGACATCCCTCAATATTAGGGAAAAACATCCCAAACCACCCTGGATTATCTGTACGCAATGATGGATCAACAAACAGCTTGAATATGGAGTTAGGAGAGTGAGCTTTAATCCCAGCTCTCTTACTAATCAATTTTATGACAGTAGCCTTTTAACCTCTGTGAGCCTTGTTTTTTTCATCTGTAAAAAGGGAACAATAAACGCCTTCCAGGACTACTTAAAAAACCCTGCTTGATGGAATAGTGATGGATTGGTGGCCAGCAATTATAAAGTCGCTTCTCTCACAAATTTAGGATGTGAATGTTAGATTTAATGAAAGTATTCCATGTCAGCAGCAAACAAATGCAACTTGAAGACTCTAGCTACAGACACTGATGATGCTTCTGAATACTAAAAAAATAATTTGATTATTACCCATTTATTGGAATGTGATGCCTCAAATCTTCTGGGAACTACTACAAAGCTTAGAAATGAGCAGGTACAATGTGGTAATGAAGAGTTTTATATACTTACCAGAGGCCCGGTGCACAAATTCATGCATGGGTGGGGTCCCTCTGGGTGGCCTGTAGGAGTCAGGCCAAAACCCACAGTCCAAGGCTGCCTGCAGCTCCTGCCTGCCACTTCCTCTCATCCCGGCCCCACTGTGTCTGCTGTGGGCTCATGCCCAATCAGTCCTGATCCGAGAGGCTCGCACTGCCACAGCAGGGCTCACCAGCCATGAGCCCTATTCTGGCACCCTCCCAAGGGGAGTGGCCTGCGGGATGGGGCTGAAACCAGCTCTCCAACATCCCCTGAGAGGTCCCACATTGCGAGAGGGCTCAGGCCAGGCTAAGAGACCCCACTGGTGCACGATCTGGCCAGGGAGGGGTTGAGGGAGGGCTCCAGAGCATGTCTGGTCCATCTTGCTCAGTTCTAATTGGCCAGACCCCAACAGCAAGCTAACCCTGGTGGTCAGTGCATGTCATAGCAACTGGTTGACCAGTTGACTGTCTGCCTCCTGGTGGTCAGTGCAAGTCACAGCGAGTGGTTAAGTAGCCTTAGCATATCATTAGCATATTATGCTTTGATTGGTTGTTCTGCCATTCAGTCTATTTGCATATTACCCTTTTATTATATAGGATATTCTACTGCTTTGAAGAATTATTAAAACAACAATAATCTTTTTGTATCTGTGGGTCAGTCATTATCTTTTGTAGCTCTGGGTCAGTTATTGGGCAGTGGCTTGGCTAGATGGATGGATCTGGCTCAGTGTCTTTCACAAGGAGACAGGCTAATATTGGCTGAGGCTGCAATCCTCTGGTGACTTGAGTGGGAGTTGGGAGACTACTTTCAAAGTGATGCACTCATGGCTAGCAAGTTTGTGTTGGCTGTGGGTGGGAGGCCTCACTTCCTCTCCACATTGGCCTCTCCACAGGGCTATATGCATGTCCTTATAACAGGTGCCTGGATTCCTCAGAGCTGGCGTGGCAACTTTATTTCTGTAAAAGACCAGATAGTAAATTTTTTTAAGCTTAGTGGGCCACATCCAGTCTTTGTCACTTATTCTTATTTTTAAAAAAAACAAACATATTTTAAAAAAATGTAAAAATCAATCGTTGCCCTAGCCCCGTGGTCGGCAAGCTGTGGCTCGTGAGCCTCATGTGACTCTTTGGCCCCTGGAGTGTGGCTCTTCCACAAAATACCACAAAATACCACGTGCGTGCCCGCACGTACAGTGCAATTGAAACTTTGTGGCCCATGCACAGGAGTCGGTATTTTGTGGAAGAGCCACACTCCAGGGGCCAAAGAGCTGCATGTGGCTCACGAGCCGCAGTTTGCCCAGCCGAAGTTTGCTGACCACTGCCCTGGTCAGTTTGGCTCAGTGGATAGAACGTTAGCCTGAGGACTGAAAGGTCCCAGGTTTGATTCCGGTCAAGGGCATGTCAAGGGCATGTACCTTGGTTGCAGTCATCCCCAGTAGGAGGTGTGCAGGAGGCAGCTGATCAATGATTCTCTCTCATCATTGATGTTTCTCTCTCTCTCTCCCTCTCCCTTCCTCTTTAAAATCAATAACAATATATTTTTTAAAAAAGAAAGAAAGAAACTAACCAGCCCTGGCTGGCGTGGCTCAGTTGGTTGAGCATCGCCCCATGCACTGAAAGGTCGCTGGTTGGATTCCTGGTCAGGGTACATACCTTATCCAGCACATAAGGAGGGGGTATATTAATGTCTCTCTCTCTCTTTCTCTCTCCCTCTCTTTCTCTCTCTCTCCCCCTTCTTCTTTCTCTAAAAATCAATAAAAACATATTTAAAGTAAATAAGTAAATAAAATAAAAATGAAACTAACCATTGCAACACCCTGATTGCTCCTGTTCCTAAAAAAACAACAAAACTAACCATTAAAGAATCCTGACCCCTCTTTATGCACATTTACATTAATCAACATATTGAAGGACACACCTGGAAAACTAATGAATATTCTGTTCAGACCCTCCCCTGAGACCTCCCCTAGGATTTCCACTGGCTAATGAAAGATAAAGAGCCTCAAGACAAAGAACGCAGGGGCTCTCTTTCTAGAGCACACCCACGTCTTTCTCCTTTAGGCATGTATCTCTGCTCTCTTTCTCCTAAACTCTAAGGGTCCACACAAGACTTGCAACCAGGGGAACAGTGGGCAGTAGCAGCTCAGCCTGGATTAACCCCCTGAACCTGTCTCCCAGGGCCCTTTTTCTCTGACTTTGAAGTGAGCTAGCCGCAGTCCCATCTTGGCTCACTTCTGTCACTGTGACTTTACTTCTCAGTGAGTTCATGCAGCCCACATGCCCCACTTCTTTCCTATAACGTTTTTAAAAAGCTAAAGCAGCCCCACCTAGGCTGTCTCCTGCTGATTTTTCTATTCTAAGCCCTTCCCTCATTTCATTGTCCCCAGCTATAGTAAACGTGCTCTCAAAATCACCTGGACTTGTGTTGAAATCTTTCCTGCACAGAGTCAAGAACCCACACACTGCTGCCGGACCCAAGAAGACCCATTCCAGGCCTGGGCGCCATCTGGTTACAGTTTTAGCATTAGAAAATAATTTGAAGGTAAGTTTTAATTTTAAAAAATTGAAAATAAGTTTTAATTTTAAAACGTTGAAGTCATGTTATTTTTTTAAACATTATTAAAATAGAACAGACACAGCCCTGAGTCTCTGTGTTTTAGAAGCAGCCCTCCTGTGTGCCATAAAAACTCCACGTCAGAGTGCCTCGTTGCTAAAGTGGCTTGTTTAAAGGCCTGGAGAGGGGAAAATGATTAACAAAAGCATTCATGAAGAGAAATGTGTAACTACAAAGCTCCAATGCTCCAAACCGATTGATGTAGAAAATGAAAGTGTGAAGACATGCCTTTCATTGGGCTTATTATTTTCCATTTGGCTCCCTCCTTTGTTGTGGATGGCCTGACAGACTCATTAGGAAGGCAGAGTGCTCACTGCATGTCTGCGGTGACACTCCAGGAGTCAGCAGCCTCACATTTCCTGCTGTTCTGGTTTTATAAAAAGGAGGTAATAAAACTCTTCTCCCCCAGGCCCCTGAGCGTGTGTGAACATACTTTGCCTTTGCTATCACAGTGACTATCATAGCTCACTCCCTGTTCTCTGAGAGAAGCAATTACCTGCTGTCCACTGATAAAGTCAAGTTATAAGTACCCATTATCAGTAAGTCCTTGGAGCTGACTGAAATCCATAAGAAATCCAAAGACAACAGTGAGCCAGATGTTTCTGAAGATCCAAAGGGCAGAGCCAACCTCTCAGGACAGTGAAGTGGGAGGCTACCTATTAGGTCATTTGAATGACAGAAGGTAGAACATCCTGCCCCATGGTGAAGTATGGTAGCAACCGTCTCAGGTAGAAATTATAGTTTAACTTTAACCCTGATGCTTGGCTTATGTACCTATTTGCTTTGTTTAACAATGGACAGGTTATTTTGATTTTCTGAATTATATAAATCATCCCATTCAATTAAATGCCTTATTGATTGTAATGTGAATATCCCATGGGTTGTGGTCATACTGGTCTTAGAAAGCACATTTTTCCTTCACCTGGGAAGGACAGCACAGTTATCCCAAGGTCAGAGGGTTCTAGACCCAAAC